CAGGGTCTACCAGCTCTACCACAGACCCATGCCCAGCCAGGAGGAGAGCCCAGTACGGGTTTAAGGGTGTAAATACAGGTCACAGACGTCTGTGGAGGTCCTTCTAGTCCGGTTTTAAGTATCTAAGGTCCTTCCCAGTCCGGGTTTAGATAGATAAACGCTTTAGGGCCACGTACATGTTGGTTTAAGTATCTAAATCCAGGTCCTGGAGGTCCCTCCGAGTCCGTGTTTAGATATCAGAGGTCCTTCCTAGTTCAGGTTTTAAGTTTCGAAACGCTTTAGGGCCTTGTACATGTTGGTTTAAGTATCTAAACCCAGGTCCCAGACATCTTTGGAGGTCTTTCTAGTTTCGTTTTAAGTATCTAAACCCTTCAGGGTCTCGTACATATTGGTTCAAATATCCAAATCCAGGTCACAAACGTCTGTGGAGGTCCCTACCAGTCCAGGTTTAGATATCTAAACACTTCAGGGCCTTGTACATGTTGGTTTAAGTATCTAAATCCAGGTCCCAGACATCTTTGGAGGTCCTTCCCAGTCCAGGTTTAGATATCTAAACGCTTTAGGGCCTCGTACATATTGGTTTAAGTATCTAAACCCAGTCTGGTTTTAAGTATCTAAACGCTTTAGGGCCTCGTACATGTTGGTTTAAGTATCTAAACCCCAGTAATAGATGTCTTTGGAGGTCCTTCCCAGTCTGGGTTTAGATATCACAGGTCCTTCTAGTCTTGGTTTAGATATCTAAACGCTTCAGGGCCTCGTACATGTTGGTTTAAGTATCTAAGCCCATCACCAGTAGAGTGGCCAGGCTGCTAATGCGGGGGCTGCAGGACGGGTTCCAGCAGGTGGAGCTGCCCATGGAGCAACTGCCCGCCGTGCACCCCGGCAGGGTCTACCAGCTCTACCACAGACCCATGCCCAGCCAGGAGGAGCAGAGCCCAGTACGGGTTTAAGGGTGTAAATCCAGGTCACAGACGTCTGTGGAGGTCCCTACCAGTCTGGGTTTAGATATCTAGACACTTAATGTTGGTTTAAGTATATAAATCCAGGTCCTGGAGGTCCTTCACAGTCCGGTTTTATGTTTCTAAACACTTTAGGGCCACGTACATGTTGGTTTTAAGTATCCAAACCCAGGTCACAAATGTCTTCCGAAGTCTTTTCCAGTCCGGGTTTAGATATCTAAACGCCTCAGAGCCTCATACATGTTGGTTTAAGTATCTAAAACTAGGTAATAGATGTCTTCGGAAGTCCTTTCCAGTCCGGGTTTAGGTAGATAAACACTTCAGGGCCTCGTACATGTTGATTTAAGTATCCAAACCCAGGTAATAGATGTCTTTGGAGGTACTTCCCAGTCCGGTTTTAGATATCGGAGGTCCTTATAGTCTGGGTTTAGATAGATAAACACTTCAGGGCCATGTATATT